TATATACAAGTAAAGCTAAAGCGCATAAATCACATATATATATATATATGTGTGTGTAATGAAACCATGTTGTTTCCTGTGTGCACACTCAGGTACCAATCACACATGATGCCCTTCGGATGAGAACAAGGAGGTTATGTGAAAAGAAAAACTCAGGACGTTGTGGGGTCCCAGATGCCATCCACAATGACTATGTGGAGGGCGGTGAGAAAAGGGAGATTCTGGAGATGAGTTTGCTCCAGTGTTTGGCCACTCATGGTTTGGACAGAAAGTGGTACAAGCGTGTCAAAGTTGTTTGGTTGCAAAAGGGTTCATGTTGGCATGTTGCATTATCCTATATGTATAAAACTTTAATACTCCATCGATTTTTGTGCAAAGTATCAATGGTTAAATATATATATATATTAAAAATTTAAAAAACAGATAATACATTCGATCAGTGAAACTCTTTCAACATCTCCCCAATATCTCCATTTTTTCCATGGGGTTCTTCCTGATCATTGCTGATCTAAGGGTGACTTTGTGCGAAAGGTGACAGTGATGAAGGAAAGGCTTTCCTCACGTGAGCAGGAGGTGCATGGACGCTGGTTAACGGAAGAGAGGATGAAGAAATGTGGGGAGTGGTCGGGTCCGGCAATCAAGTCGATGATTGCTTACTGTCGTCGATGGCCGGAGACGTTGGTCAGGAGTGGGTGGGCCATTGTTTCCCTTGCAGCTCAAGGCATGCAATCTGCACTGATGTATGTTATACACATATATGGGTGTGTGGATGTTTTTACCATGATGGTATACTGGGCACCCACCTGTTCGGTTGATAATGTCCCTTCACTTTTGTTGCATGATTAAAGGAGCTGGAAACATAACTCTGATGTGAGCGAATTTTACATCGAGACCGATGAGAAGACCACTCGCAAGTTGGCTGAGCTTGACCGAACAATGGAACATACTGAGTTGGATGAAACTTATTGGCACATCAATTGTGATTTTAGTGGCATTGGAAAAACATGCCATGAAAGTCTTGCAAACATCATATACAAACATCACATATATATGTATTTATAATAAATATGATAATGTATTGTCATTAGTATTTGCCTATATATATATATATCTGGGGGTATAGTTGTTTTGTTTTATCAATCCATTGCACATCATCTTCACCCCATTTCACCCCTGTAAAACATATATAGATACCCTTGTGACTCTTGGCCGCTGAGGATGAGAAGGTGAGCAAAGATGATGTGCAGCGGCTTGCCCCTGGACATGTTGCCATTCCAGAGGAGAAACCCAATCCAGAGGTTCTGGGGGAGAAGGTGGGGGCAATTGAGTGTCATTATGCCTAATGTCATATGCCCAATCCCAATACCCATGCCTCTCCAACCATTTGCACGTAAACTCCACCAATGATCTTCCCTGGCCAGCCGGTGCCCGAGCTGGAGAAGTACATGGATAGCATTGTGGCAAAGCAAGGCAAGATCACTACCATGGTGGATACCATCAATGATAAAGTTCAATCGTCAGCCAAGTCCCAAGAGTGCAAACCTCAGATCAATTTTCCCAATAATATATACAATGTTCATTACATACTTCTGAACTTCTAAGATTCAATCACATTCTTGGGATCTTACATAAATGACAGCTCCAGTGTGGCCCATAATATTCCATGCATCGTCCTACTATTGACCCCTATCGTTCCCAAGGCTGTGCAACAAGCTGAAGGATACACATGATGGGCTTGGAATGTGCTATTCCCAGCTCGCGAAATATGTCACTGAGTTGAAGATGGACCTCAACGATGGTACCAAGGTCTCTGAGCGCCTTGATGAGTTTCTTGGGTGCATTTTTTTACACATTCTGTGCATGATCAGTCTGTCAATATATAAATATATGGTATTTGCACAACACCTGCCGGCAACCTTGCAGCCAATATATGATCAGGCTGTGTAGGATGTTGGGATGACCCATTAGGTGTGGGGAACCCACTTTTAGAGAGAGAGAGAGAGACTGCCATGGCCGGTGGTGATGGTGAAGATGATAGCGCAAGCTGGATTCAAGAGCTGATTGAATACAATCGCCAGGCCATGTTGTTCATGTGAATGCATCTCTATTTTCACATGAGTACATGGACCAAGAGTATACAATCTTGTGTGATCTCGATGCTCCTTTTGTACTCCTGCATTATCCATCAGATAATTCCTGCATTCACCAATGCCCTTTACTTATATAGATGTAAAAGCCTCGGCAGGCGGTCTGCACTACTCCCTGCATGGAACTTTACCAAGGCAGGACCATCCAACAATCCCAAACATTCCAAGTAGTGTTGGGAATTTGTGAAAGGTTTCATACCTTATATAAACAAAGGGGATATGCATATGCATATATAGATGTAAAGATATACACATATGATACATAGATATATGAGATTTAGATAAACATTTAAATATATAGGTAGATGGAGAGGTAGATAGGTGGGCAGGTGGAAATAAGAATGATACATATATGTCCTGGAGTACACCCATGAAATATATGTGAGAGAAACACTGCTGCAGGCCCACCCTGCTCATCTTGGGCACCTCATTCGTCTTCAAGGACCAGGCGGCATTGGCAAGAGGCCTTAGATAATGACATCTTGGCCATGCCAAGAACTCAGGAAGTGTTCAACAAGATCGAACATGACTTTCGATTAGACTATGCCCTACCCCCAAAAAAGTCTCTCGCTGGAAAAATTCTGGTCCACTGCTTTGAAGTTGTGGGGAAAGTTATTCGAAAGAACGAGCCTTTGATCTACAAGATCGGCTACACCCATGATGCCCACACTCGGTTTTACAATTCCAAATTCGGCTATCAGCTAGAAAAATGTCGCTGGGAAAACCTGTTGGTGCTTTATGCAGCGGGCGAGACGGTTTCCCCAGCATTTGTTGAAGGAGCACTCATACAACAGTTCAAAGGTGCCAAGCATTATTCTCAGCAAAGATTTTGTGTTAATGTTGTTTCAATTATATAATGGCATATATATATAGGCTATGGAGGGTCCGTTCATTTTTTTGGGATGTGACTGCCAATCCTGATATAAGGAAAGCCTGGATGCTACAATATCAAGGATGGAGGAGATACCGTTTTGGACTCTGACTCTGGGCCATTTCTGGTCTATGTGGTGTACAAGTCGTTGAAGAGACCCAGTAATCGGCCACTGATGGGGCTTTGAATTTAGATGCGATCAACCGTACATAACTGGACGTAGAAGTTGCAACTGCTGTGTAAATAGATTATGACTGAGCAAGGGCTGCCAAAATCACACTGAAGCTGCTTGTGCAGATCTTGCATGGCAAACATGTGAACCTGCATTCATGGATAGATAAATTCACTGCAATGTTTGTTCTTATTACCTGTATCCCGATTTGTTTCGCTCCTATATATATATATATGTTCGCTCATGCCCCCCAAGGCTGAAGAAGCTGATCTCTTTGGAAAAGAACAAGGTCAGGGATTTGAAACTTGGCAGTGTTTAAGCTGCCAAATTGTGCCATTGCATAAGCAGGTATAGGCATATACATGTGTGTACACTCATATATATATATATACATATGGGTGTATATATATAATATATTTGTATGGGTGTGTATATATATGTTTACAGTGCAAGCATATGCACACACATGTACAATGCTACTTGTTCAATCTTAGGTGCGCTGGCTTTCTGAGCCTTGAGACTCAGCAGAAGCATCTGGGCCCAATGATTGAACAACACAAACATATATGCGCACATATGTGTATATATATATATTGATGCATTCTTTTGCCACTTTATTGTTGCTAACTTCACTACGTGCACTGGCTGATGATAATAGTACATGCACATGCATGGTCTGCCATGCAGGCAAATGGTCAAGGATGCCAAGCCGCCCCCTGAAAAGCCGACAACTCGCAAGAAGCCACCCAGCGGTAGCAATCACAGGAGCAAGAAGACAAAGGGAAACACTACCAAGGGTTCCAAGAAGGACCCACCTGCACGCAAGAACAAGCGTGGAAGTCAGCCTGGTGGAAAGCCCTCAAAGAGGGTCAAGGGCAAACAGACCCCAGCACCTGCGGAGACTGAGGAACTGGCAGCGCCAGCTCCAAAGAAGCCAAAGCGCCGCTCCAGCAAAGCCTGAGCGACCACATAGAGATCAGATTCAAGGTGTTTTATACCAATAGAGCTTTATAGAATATAAAGGTGAACCTTTTGTACCTTTATAGAATTTTGTAGATATACATCAGCACCCATATATATGCTGGGATCATTGTGTTTTTCTTTGGATCTGAACCGGGGGTCGACAGGTGGGTTTTCGATGAACATGTGGAGAACCACATGTGTTTGACCGTGCTCAGGCACATCCATTTCCAAGCTGAAATTATCTAGCATCAATCAAGCTCTGTCGCTGCAGTTTTCACTGCAGGACTGAATATGTGTGGAAGCGAGAAGTTTCCTTGAAACATCATGTGGGAGTAGGAAAAAAAAGGTCACTGTTGGCTGCAGTTTGGCATATCGAGTTGATCTTTATCGTATATACATTAAAAACATGTGGATATAACGGATATAAGGTATATATATAAATATATAAACACATAAATTCAAAGCAAGGGGGTGCCCTAGTTGAAATTATATGGTTTTGACTTCCTGCCACACACACAGCCCTGCCAGGTCCCTCACACAAAGCTCGCCAGCTGGCATGGCGATATGCATGTGGCGCCCTTTGGCTTTCCACCATGGACATGTTTTTCAAGTGTGCAGGATTATGTGAATCCTTCTTCAATGAGGCTTGATGTGACAGGTACAGACTGATTTCTGCAAAGCTTTTGCTCGTGCAGTTGTTTGAAAGAATCTGCATCCATAGCTGGATATATATATATAGAGTTGTTTTCAAAAAACAAACAGCTCCCACATATATAGAGATATATACATATACCCACAACGCCAATCTATATGTATCAGTGTTTTTCGGTTGAATTCACAACCATGCATGTTGAGATTGACATGGCTGATCGCCCAGGAACGTTCCACTGAGATCCTGAAGTTTGCAAAGGCGTCTTGCCAGGATGACATCGAGGACGGGCGGTCGGACTTCCAGTGCCCAGTCTTGAAAGCACTTTGGAAAGCAGACCCGAAAAAATCAGAGTCTTGGTCATATTATCTCAGGGGTATTTTCATCTATATAATATATAAGTTTATGCACGTTTATTTTATGTTATCTCTGCAGCACCCCTTTAAAACAATAAATTCTATAAATATAGGATATATGCGTACATGGATATATAAATGTGTGTGTGTCTTCACTTTTCCCATGTCAAGATGCAAGCAACTTAGGAAGCAGAAGTACAACGTGTCTTCAAGGAGCACCATTTCTATTATCCTGTACCTACTACTACAGAGACTGAGTCACCCTTGGTTGGCTTCTGTTGGATAAAACCAAGTTCTTTTCTGAAGACTATGGCGCTCTACAACGATCTGGGCAACATTTTGGGGGGCTTCCCAGATATAGCCACAGCAGCACCCCTCCTGGAAGTCTTCTGGCAACGCTACAGGAAAATCATCCCCAAGTTTCAATTGTTTGAACGTGTTGATGCTGGGCAGTGCACCTACAGGCAATGCATACCGTTGTATCTGCATGGTGACGAGGGCGTCTGTTACAAAAAGGGTGGAGTACTTGTAGTATCATTTCAATCTCCGTTGGGTTTTGGAACATCAAAAAGACATCAACAGATGTCGTTGAACCTGCAAAACATGGGCGAAGCAGGACTGCCCTTAAATTTTGTCAAGTGTGGAATGCTGACACGTATGGTCAATGTGATTTGTCCCAAGGACTGGGTTCAGTGTTTCAAGGTTTGGTGATAGATTTCGCGAGAACTATGCAGTTATATAATGTTTTACAGATGTTATAACGATTGGGCTAAATACTCAACCTTGTTCAATTTGACCTCAATGTCTTTTAACTCGTTCACATCCCTGAAAGGATTTCTACAAAGATGACCCACGAGTGTGGAATGCGATTTTCGACAAGATTGCTACCGATTTTGGACACATGGAAGAACATGGCATAGAGCTGGATGGTCAGGGTGTGGTGTACCCAATCATACTGGGGAACAAAGGAGATTGGAGTTATCTTGCAACTTGGTTTGATCTGTTCAAACTCCAGACTGTTCAACTTGGATTTGATGACCCTTCCTGTTTTTACTTATCAAATCTAAATGTGGGATGTACACAACAAACCCAACACCATTTGTTGCATCCTCAGGTATCTTCTGCAAACCTTGAACGTTCTTACAGGAGAGCTCCCAAAGGATCCAGGGGAGATGGCAATGATGGGGACTGGGGAGTGGAAGGTGCTGGAATATGTCACCTGTGCATGTGTGGGCAAGGTGTTGATTGGGAAAATTTGTTCCTTGACTGTGCAAAAGAACCATGCAATTTTGTTTCAACTATATAGTTGTGTTTGTTTTTTGGTTGTATGGTGGTTTTAGATGATGGTGACTGTTTGTGATCGGTGATATACCTATAAGGCTATACGTTCTTGTTCCCAACCTGATCTAATTCGATCTAAGGACACAGGCTGAGGAAGCTATGAGATCTTCACATGTGGAAAGGATCGCTGTGCCTTGGATTCGAGAAGGCTCACTAACTCGAAAACTTTTTCACGATGCTGCTCTTAACGGCAAGGCCCGTTTCCACAAGTATGACTTGTGGCACTGCTTTCACTTGGGTGCAGGGAAGCATTTTCTAGGTTCAGGGCTCATGCTCCTACAAAGTCTGGTCCCAGCACCCAACATCGACCAGCGGTTTGCAATCATTAGTGCTGCTTATGCGGAATTTTGCCGTAGCAATGGCATGACACGCATCATTGGGAAAATCGATCAGTATCTATGTGGATTTACCCTACCCGAGCCACAGGGAACATGGAACAAGGCGGCGGTTACAAGCAACATTTGCCTATTTGTGGAAGACTATCTTTCCTGTCACCAGGAGATGACCAGAGGTCATCAACGGCTTCAACATTTTGTCACTTTGTTTGATCAAGCTCTACACAGATGTGATTTTTTAATTTGATGTTGCCACTGTTTACTGTTATATGCATGTGTTATATGGGCCTTCTTAGCTGTAAATATCATGTTGTTCCTCGATTTTTGTTGTTAGTTGTTTACATATTGGGATGTAAGTTGTGCATATACGTTTGAACATTCTGGGATGTAGGAGGTGCATGGGTGGGAAATTTTGGCAAAACTACACTGCCAGCTATAAGGAGCATGGATGCAAGAAGATCAACTTTTTCTTTCGTTCACTGTATGCTGGGGACCTCTGGCTTGAAAGCGCCTATGCCAAAACATTGGCAAATGCATTGCTCCAGTTTGTTCGGGCCTATCTTCTATTGGCACACATGTCATACGAGCTGGGAGAGAATAAGTTTGGGTTAATCCCAAAGGTTCATGCCCTACATGAAGTTGCTATGGAGATGTTTCGACAATGTG